TATCGATTACTAGACTCCCGAAGCATATGTTGTTGTGCCGAATGCATGCCTGATATTTTATTTCTCATCAGAACCAGACTTACATGTGTTATGTTATTATAATGCTGTATGCGCAATTATGTTATCCATTAGACTTGAAACATTCCACCTCGCTGCTGCCTGCTTGCTATCGCTAGCTTTCTAACCAGTAAAGTTCAAATTGCTCAATATCGAAGTCTGTAACTATTTTTATTCATTTATTAATTTTCCATTTCATTTGGTATCATAATCAAAACATTCTGTTTTTATTGTCATCAGTACCTTGTATGGTGCTGATGTAATGAACTTATATATATATATATATATATATATATATATACATATATAAAAAATTGTTGTATATATATATGTATACGTGTGTGTGGTGTGTATGTGCTGTTCACTTCATAATGGTATTTTTAGACATCTTGCAGCATGGTGATTTTGCTCAACTTTCAATATTCATTATTGTATTCACGAACCTACATACAAATTCATTGCCTATTCATTTATTTTTCTTAATTGTGGCTTTCCTTATATATGCTTACCGTTTAATTACATTTTGGTGATGAATCAAACTGATTTTAATAAATAATGATGTCTGAATTTTTTAATAGCATGTGCGCGTAATAATTTTACTTGGACTTAATAGTTGTCATAGCGATTTTTTATGGTGGCTGGATGGCGTAATGGCTAAGGTGCCTGGCCCTGCTGTTGCCGGGACTACGTTCGAATGCATAATGATCCCTGCATATCGCATGTAATATGTTGTATATGATATGTGGATTCAGACAATTTTACATGTGATGGTGGTGTGTTGTTGTTAATACTTTGAAGAATTAATTATGAAAAAAATATGGATCATTTGAATAATGTAAAGGTACCCTGTAGCCAAAAATATACCCACTTATCACGTGCAATGCGCGTGTATGTATGTGTGTGTATATTCACACTGTGTGTTGATTTTGTTGCTGTTGTTGTTGTTGTTGTTGTTGTTGCTGCCGCTGTTGTTGTTTTGTTGTTGCTGATACCTGTGAAAATTGATTGGAATCGAGTTCATTTTGATAATTTGAAAAGGACGGCGTAGAAGCGAAAAGAATCATCCAATATGAGCGACCAGATTTAGACGTTATTAAATTTATTACTATCTTTTTTTTAAATTAATCATTGAATAAAATATTTTTAAAATAATAAACAAAAAAGTACAAATTAATAATTAAAAAATAATTTAAAAATTTGAACGTATGGTACGTCGCTTACAATTACAATGACGACCGACGCAACGACCTCTGCCAGGTGTACATTATGTATGAGGGCATGCCCATAAGTGCCGACCTGGGGTTCAAGAGGGTCAGGATCTTCGTCAACTCCAACGGGCGGGTCAAGTCCGTACCAACAATAGCATAGTACCAGCAAGAACAACCACAATAATAATAATAATATAATATATAATAATATAATAATAATAATGGTTGTGATGACGTTATGAATTAATGTGATGTAATAATATGCTTATATAACAATAACACCCGTTTCAATGCTTTCATAGGCTTTGGTAACAAATTGTTAAACATTTTTTGATCATCTTTAAATGTTATTTTTTAACATCTGTTTTAATTATCGATTTGCAACAACTTTGAATTTGTAACATCTATGTGTGAATGGGCATCATTATATTTGATGTTGAAAAAATTATAAAAACTCAGAAGTGAAAACTAACGCTTCGTATAATTATATCAACTTGTACCAGCGTGAAATGACGGAAATTATATTGCTGTTTTGGAGATTATTTTAAAAAACTTTAGTGAGTATGGTTAAAAATGCTTAAAATATGGTTAATATATCATTTTTATTTAAATATTTGGTGTTTCGTTTCTGTGCATTTAAAAACATTTTGTGCTTTTTCATACAGATGCGTTTGAATTATTTTAGTTGAAAATGTGCTACATTAATGTCATGTTGCGTTGTTACATCGTTTGTATTGTTGCGGTTGCGTTTGATAACACCAAACCAAGAAGAACTGTGAGCGGAAAAAAAAGAATTGTAATCGTTTGGATCGGCTGGACACGTGTCTCGCCCCTACCGGGGAATCATCAGCAGCCCAAATACCTATCAGAATAGTTATTGCAGTTTCTAATAAAAACCCGTGTGCCAAGAGGTTTTAAACTGTTGTAAGAACATTATTATATTTAAACTGTGAAAATTTTTTATTTAAACAGTCAATGAATCATAAAAAATATATCCAAAGCAAAATGAGAATGAGTTTTGCACAAGCAAAAGAAGAAGCTCTCAGTTCAACCAGTGTATGGAATGCCAACAACTAGACCATCGTCATCCACAAATATTCTCACTCTGTCAATTCTGTAGTCCTTCGTTACTGGAGTGCCCTCCTTCAGAATTTCCACCTGGTTTGTGGTGGAAAATCATGGTCAACATTTCTTAGCAATGGATTAATCAGCATTAATCATTTAAAACATTGGGAAGGTAGCGTACAAAAACTTTAGAAAATTAAATACCTAAATGCCTAATAAGCAAATGTTACCAAAATAAAAAAAAGTGGTGTCAATTAAGTTGAAATTATTAAAAAAGAAAATAATACTTACATTTGTAAGGTCAGGCCTTTCTCTCAAAATGACGGCCATTGCATCTTTCCCTAACTTTAAAACAACAAAATTTTAAACAAAAATTAAAATATAAATCAAATAATTTTTAATAATTTAGTTAAAAACATATTTACTAAACTTATTTTTCATAAAAATACAGTGACCATTATTTTTAGAAGTATATTGATAATCAAGTTGAACATGCATAGCGCACCTTTCCCAGCAGCTCTGGCCAACGTTCTTTGTCGACTTCCGAGAGGCTGAAAATAATTTTTTGAATTAATATTTAGACAAATTAATCAATAACAAATCAATCAATTAATTATTTATTTAATTAACTGGATAATTAATCTAATTAGCCACAAATCACTAGCTTGATGATAGACTTATCGTCTTGTCTCACCTCGCGACCACAAAGACTGCAAGAAATAAGCAAATAATCTTAGACATGGTGTTTCTTTGTTGTAATTTGATTAACACGATTCAACCAAAACGTCAGTATTTATAAGAATCTAAGATAGACTAGAACTCAAGCAGCAAATAGACCTGATGTTGTTTACAATATTGATAATGTGTTATCATAGTGTGTGAATATATATGTATGTGTGTTTTTGTGTGTGTGTGTGTACGCAACACAATGTATTCAGGTTTTTACAGATCTTCATATGTTCATTATAAGTGTTCGTTTGAGAACGCTCTTGATCCTTGCTACGTGAAGAGTTTTTATCAACTATTTTAAGACGATATGCGACTTACCTATAATTCAATAATTTTAATTATTATTATAATTGTAATTAATTATTCAAAATTAATTCATAGTTTATTATGTTTAATATAAATGCGTTTTTGTTTTATTAAATAAGATAATATTAATTAATTACAATTAATTATTTATTTATTTAAAATATTGAATGCCAGAAAGCAGCAGGACATCTTGAAACGAAGTAGTTAAATAAAGTTTGTCCCACAAGAGCTAATCACTGAATAGTAATTACGATCGCGATTCGCGATATAAAAATTAAAACATTAACCTAGCAATAATTAATGCTAGGAAAATAATGATTTAATTATTGTAATAATGATAATAATAATAACAGCAAAATAATAAAGTAATAATAATATTAGTAATAATATTAATATTAATAATGTTATTTTTATTATTGTTGTTGTTGTAAAAAATAATTTTAATTTAATCATCAACGTTTTCATCATCAGCATCACTATTCTAATTGTCATCATCATTTCCTTTAACTTTATCACCATCGTCATCTTCACGTCACTCGATTTTACTGTCCTTGTTCTATTTTAAGTTTTCGAGTTGTTGTTCAGTAAAACATGAAGCGCTTCATCTGATTCCAGCAATTAAGAATCATGCAAATGAAAGAAATTGAATTTCAATGGATGGCTTTTTGTAGAACTTTGTTTCCTGATGAAATAATTTAAACTTTCTTGCAAAAAACTAAAGGTCATTTAATTCTCTGCTGAAAATTTAAACATAAACAACCACTACAATAAGGTAAATGAAATAATGAGAAAGAGACATTGACATCATAAACAACATCAACGTGAAAAACATCATCATAAACAACGTCACCTTAATCCACAATAACAACAGGTCAACTGCAAAAGACAGCAACACAATACAAAGACAATCTACCCATCATAACTTTCTTATCATCTCACCATATTTAATCATAAGTCTTCATGAGCTAATAACACATTTGGAAACTATTATTCCAATTTTTTACGTACAAAGTTTAAAATACCTACAATAACCTTGTTATTCATTGACGTGAAAAATCGCATTTGCACACATTTCTGTCGTCGGGTTAGCTCAAGCGTCAAAAGTGTCATGCCTCTCGCTGTTGTTACGCGATGGCCTGGTTCGAATGCTGTCTGTGTCCGAAACTCAAAAAATTCTTACCACACGTCTCGTGCTATAATGCATGCACTGCAAATGATCATTATTTATATAGAAAAAAAAATCAGGCCAATTGGTTGCCAATAATCCATAGACATATAGGCATATACAATCATCATGACCGCCACCACCCAGTGGCAAATCCAGAATTTTAATATTTTTTATTGGTATTTTGATTATCAAAATTTGTGAAATAACTTGGGTTAATAATCACAAGTATTATGTCACATTGGTTGGGCCCTTGAAATTTGAACTGACACGTTTCTTTAAATGTTGACTGCTCAGGCAAACAGTACAAGAATATATAGAATAGATTTGACATATATATCATTATTCGCTTACTTTCATATGCACATATAATTACATTAAGAGTTATACATTTCTCGGGTATAAATACAGGAGAGTGCGAATCTGCCACATCAAGTTTTTCTACCTGAGGCAACTGAAACGAAATCACCATGGCAAAAGTCCTTTTTCTCCTTCTTGCAGTCCTGGTGGCAGTTAGGTTAACAACAGTTGTTTTTATTTAATAATAATAATAATGATAATAATAAATAGTAAGAATAAAATGGCAATTTATTTGCTGCGTCAGAGGCGCCTGGAGCCAGCATTCGAAAACCTGTCCAACTGAGTTGTGAGCATCGTTTAAGCCAAACACGAGATTAGGCGAGATTCTGGCACATTATGGCACCATCTTGGGACCTGCAGTGCTGTTAAAATCTTCATTAAAAAAAAATTAGGCGACGAACTGACTCAAACTTTTAGAGATAAGGGTGAAGCGTTGAGTCGCGATAGTCGATTCTTGAATGAATCAGAAGGCCAGCGATGTCGACTTAGGCAATATCTGACGCAAGTCGGCTCTTGAGTCTTATGCGATAGATGCATGGTATGACAATGTTGCGACACGAGACATGAGAATGCTGTGACTAGAGACATGATAATGCTGCGACACGAGACATGACAATGCAAGAGACATGAGAATGTTGAGACATTAGAATGCTGAAGACATGATCGTCTAGTAAATGCTGTAGCAGATATATTCAATAATTAAATAATGTAGTAGTAATAATTGTATATTAATTGAATAATTAAAAAATAATGAAATAATTTATGGAAATAATTATAATTATTTTTTTATCACAGTGTGTCCATACCAGCCAAAAACCAGTGGCCAGAAGTGTTTGGAATGGTAATAATTTATAATAATTATTAGTTATAATTATATATTATTTTATTTATTATACTTAATCATTATATTATATAATAACGTTTATTATTTCTCTTATTTATTCCTTTATTTTAATCGCTTCATAATTTAAAAAAATTCAATCCTTAAAATTTCACATATATCAAATCTCCAAGAGGAACAAATAAAACTTCTTCAATTAATTAAAAATAATTAAGAATAAATTTAATAAAAATAAGTTTTTGCATAGTCAAAACCAAAACGCGAAGTCACAATGTGAAATATTTTAAAGAGTTAACAAGACATAGATGCAGAGAGAATTTAATTATTCAATATAGTCTCAAATATCTGGAACTCATTACCAAATGAACTTGTTGAGGCACAATCAATTAACAAATTTAAAGCAGGCATTGATTGTTGGATGAACAACAATCAATCATTGAATCAGCTGAGCTAGCATGCCTGACAACATGCTCTGGATAACCTCCAGAACAGCTGCTGCTGCTATGCTACTACTACTACTACTACTACTACTACTACTACTACTACTACTACTACTACTACTACTACTACTACTAACTAAAAAATAAATTAATTGAGAATCAACTATTAATTAAAAATTAACAATCGACTGAAAATTTTAAAAAAGCTATTTAGAAAATTTATTTTAGTTAAAATTAATAAAAATAATTTTGAATAATTTTAAAAAATTATTTTTTTTTCAGACCGGTGAAGATGCCAAAGCATTTATTCTCAGTGAATTTCCACACTTGAAAGTAATATTTACTAGCAGATTAATCGCATGTTTTCAATTTTTTAATTAATTTTTTAACTATTTTATATTATTTTGAAAGATTTCACATATATACTGTTATACGCTTACGTTATGAATTATATATTTCCCTGGGTTTTAAACACAGGAGAGTTCGAGCCAACCACATCCAATTCATTCATTCATTTATTCGTTATTTGCCTTCGTTCATTTACTCATTCCTTCATTCATTCATTTATTCATATTCATTCATTTATTCATTCATTCCTTCATTCACACATTCATTTATTCATTCCTTCGTTCGCACATTCATTCATTTATTTATTCATTCTTTCATTCCTTCCTTCATTCATTCGTTCATTCATTCATTCATTCATTCATTCATTCATTCATTCATTCATTCATTCATTCATTCATTCATTCATTCATTCATTCATTCATTCATTCATTCATTCATTCATTCATTCATTCATTCATTCATTCATTCATTCATTCATTCATTCATTCATTCATTCATTCATTCATTCATTCATTCATTCATTCATTCATTCATTCATTCATTCATTCATTCATTCATTCATTCATTCATTCATTCATTCATTCATTCATTCATTCATTCATTCATTCATTCATTCATTCATTCATTCATTCATTCATTCTCACACTCAATCATTCTCACACTCAGTCATTCCATCATTCACTCGTTCCATCATTCATTCATCCGTGCACCAGATCTACATTCTCCGTGACGGTTCGCCAGTTACAATGGACTATAGATTTGATAGAGTCAGAATATTCGTCGACGAACAAGGCGTAGTCGTCCGCACGCCTCACATCGCTTAAGAACATCATTTTACAACAACTTATTATTTCAACCTAATTTAAAATTAATTATTAATCAATTTACCTGATTTAAATTTAATTAATAACTTTATTAGTAGAAAAAATTTATTAAATAACAATTTTTAAGATATTTCTTCAATATATCGCATTAAATGTGATTATTTATTACGTTCAATGAATTTTGAAATTGGGAATAAAACTATTTGACTGCAAAAATAAGATGTGTGTTGGCTGTTTTATTGAGGGTAATTACAAAATTCAATGCAATAAAATGTGGCATGATAGTAATACTATTGATGATGATGATTCAAGTGGTAGTGCTGATGATGATGGTGCTGCTGCTGATAATGATGATTATGTCGATGATGATGATGATTTCGATGATGAGGATGAACCTAATTTCACCATCAAACCTAAAATTATTCCTTACACTTTGGGATATAAATGTGGAAAAGTTAGAGCTGATTGACAGGATTGAATTTTTGCAGTCCTTGTAGCAGCAAAGTTAACAACAGTTGTCAACGTATAATTGTAATTGTAATATAGGCGTATAGTAATTACAATACTAGATAAATTTAATACTTATTTAGTACCTTACTTACGTTAAATTAACGCTGTGACCACATTTGTCATTGCAATAACCTCATCATATTAATATTTAAATCGTGTTTATAACACACAGAGTAGACACAATATGCCATTAAAGTGCAAACAACAGAAATAGTATAATCTTAGTAACTGGATAATTAAGTAACGGTAATAAATATGACATCATCATTGCAAAACATAAAATAGAAATAGTCGCCAATGTCTTGAAAGGATAAGGCACGAAAAAGAAAGAAATAGTTCCACGAATACTGAACTCATCCATTCACTGACTCATTCATTCATTTGTCAGTTCTTTCGTTCGTTCATTCATTCATTTATTCGTTCACTCTCACTCACTAACGGACTCACTCATTTACTCACTAACTTACTTAATGATTCACTCACTCACTCATTCACTCACTCATTCAATCATTCATTAGTTTGACATCATTTTCGACCCAACCGGAGATACAAAGAATTTTTAAAAAGATAGAGTTCTAATTTTAGCGGGCGAAAATAACATTGTTGTCAACGTTCCTCTTGTTACTTGAACATTTTTGAAGCAAAATAACTCTAATTTAATTTAATTCAATCCTAAATTAAATCCGGTCAAGGTTTTGATTGACGAGAAGTTGTTTTAAAAACGTTTTCAATTTGAAATTTTTTGAAAAACTACACATCTAATAATTATATTATACATTAGATTCAATGATATTTGAAATGTTTAACAGAATTAGGTTTCCGCGAAATTATGCGTTCTTGTTCTTTTGTTTGGAGTAAGGAAACGTTGCTTGCTAATAATAAGCCAACTTCACCGCATTTCATTCTTGAATTTTAAAAAAAATTATGTGAAGTTTTTCAAACGTTGTTAAAGGTCGATTGCACGTTTTTTTACCCCAACTTGCATAATTATAAAAATATAATATATACATTATATATAATACAATATATTTAATTACAAGTTTTTTATATTAATTATAATTTATATTATGTATATGTTATATTAATTTATTATAGCTATAAATTCTGTGAATTTGGCCAGAAATTCAGTTCAGCGTAACTGCAGAATAAGAAACAACCAAAGATGTCCAAAATCGTCTGTCTGTTTCTCGTTGTTTTGGTAGCCGCAAAGTGAGTGGATTACTAATGCTCTTGCTGCTGCTACTGCTGCTACTACTGCTGCTACTACTGCTGCTACTACTTCTGCTACTACTACTACTTCTGCTACTACTATTACATTTTCCTATTACTTCAACTACTTATATTAATACTAATAATAATAAGATGAATAATAACGCTGTGGAGCACGATAATATTATCATATTATTAATTATAATAATTTAAATTCTAACTCGATTTAATATTTATTATAAACAAATTTCTATGATAAATTTCCATTTACATTTCCAGCCTTTCGACTGCCTTGAAGTCAAGCTGGCCTGAGTTGTCTGGATCGGTATGCTAATGAGATAATAATTATTACCCATAATATAATTAATATTAATAATTAATTAATTATTAATAAAAGAAATAATAACAATATTATTATTAATAACCATTATTCCTCCTCAGAGATAAGTATGAACAAGATCACACACAGCAAAGCGAATTGAACAGGTTGGAATCGAAGTCGGTCACTGCGGCAGTAGGAAGATACCCTAACCATTACACTATCTGGCATAATTGCTCAAAATAAATAATTATTCATAATAAATCAATAATTATTTGTTGAGAAATCTTATTAGAATAAATATTTATAACGAAATGTTCATAAATAGTAAAAAATTTTCATGATAAAAGTTCAATTATTATAAAAATTAACGAAAGCCAAAATCCACCTTTTGGTAACGAGTTAAAAAGGAAGAACAAATTTTTTAATGCCATTTTTTGTCACATCACTTTCATCTTTTCAAACTTAATTATATATTAGTGGTAGCAATAGAAATATAAAACGAAACCAGTCATGCCGGCCCATCACATGCCTTGTGTGTAATGCGTCGTTTGGCACGCATTCAACTCACACACTCTGTTTGTGTGTTGTTAATTCTTAACTCTGAACTTTAGAAAGGGTAGCCAACTTTTAATGCTTAAACCTTTAATGCGAATGTTTCTTTCTTTTACCCAGAGAGGAGAAGCCGCCAAGACGTACATCCTGAAGGAGAGACCAGACTTAAGAAGGGTTCATATTGCGGTGTTTCGCCACTAATCCAACACGTACACACACACAAACACAAACACACGCACCAACAAACAACCACACACACACCAACACACACAAACACACACAGGTTGAAATCATCAGAGAAGGGTCGGGAGTGACCATGGACTACAGGCTGGACCGAGTGAGGATCTTTGTGGATGATGCGGGATTCGTGGTCGGATTTCCGAGAACTGGATAAATTCATTTGTAAACCTCACTAAAAGGAAAATAATAATGATAGTAATAAAGTAATAATAATAATAATAATAACAATAATAACAGTAATAAATAGTGATTAAATAATCGTGTTGATCATGATGATATATAATCGAAGATGATGGCGATGATGATGATGGTTTTGGTGGTGATGATGATCATGAAGACAATCAAAATAATTATTCAATATATTCGTCATTTATTGTTATCCATTTGAATCCGAAATGTTAAAATTTAGAATAAAAAATTTTTCTAACTCAAAAAATGTCTTGCCTTCGTTATTCAATATTTACACATCACATACACAACACACACACACGCGCACGCACAAACACGCGCACACACACACATACGATGAAAATATGGCGATGATA